TGTCACACGCAACGTAATATTACGGTAATTGGTATAGTACAGGTGTGATGGTTCAAATACAAAAATGGCAACAGTAACATAAAGACTTCCCTGGCGGCGATGATAACATACGAACACGGAGTCAACAGATGAGGTTTCAACTGGTACTGGTATTATTATACTCTACAAACATCAAGTACAATAACTCGGTAAAACTCCAAACCTCCAATAACTAGATACTTAAACTCCAACACAATTCAACGAGATCTCCGATCTGATCTCAGTGCTGAACAACTCCCCTATATATACCCACAGTCTATAAATAGACCATTACATCAGCATACATAATGAGTCTGGAACTTACTACAAATTTCTAGAATGTTCCATTACCGTCTATTGCCTCCTACAGTGTCCTATTACCTATTCAACCAGTTTCTAAACAAAATCTAGAACATTCTCAGTCACACGGAAGTGGTAAGCAAGTCGTATGCGACAATTTGTTTAATGATTCTTTAATGTAAACTTACATTTCATGCTATGTTTTGTTTCATTGTTATGTTTGGATGCAAAATATGAGGCGAATTGAGGCATTATTTCAGGCGGGTTACTCACAGTTCATGATTTTGCAATTTCTGGATTTACATCAAGATATTCATTTAAGGTAATTATACAAGTTTTGGTTATGTACAGTGAGTTACATTGTTTTCATTGTGTTTGTTTATTGATCTCAGAAGTACACATACAAACTGTTTTAATTTGTTATTAAATAGTGTGTCAAACTTGGTTGGTATAATTCCCTTATTTTATTGCTACCTAAATGTGACTTGTGTGGAATAAATGTATGTTAACCTGCACCGTTTTTAAGTCTCTGCTGAATGAGTCCAAACATTTATTTGTTTTCATTTGACCTTCAGCAACATTAATTATATTCTATCAACATCTGTCATTATTTACAATTAAGAGTATAAAAACTAGACAGAGACTATGTCATTGACAATGTCGTACACTAAACTGCACCCTAACTAGTCATTGTATAAACATAACACCAAGCAATAGTAGGTAAATTAGCTATAAAGAAATGTGGCATAGTTACAAGATATATTGTTTATTAATAGCTTACATTCTGGTACACAAGTGAAGGACAGAATTTGTACATGAATTAATCATATTGGAGATTTCAGTAATGTCGATCTTAATCACTGCTGACAATTAATACAGGGGAATAAACTTCTGTCAATAAATATAATCAACTTGAAATGGTCGAATTAGGGTATAGTGGCTTTATAAGAATGACACAAAAATGATTCGATGACCATACAAGAACATTGTAATTCAGTTTTGAATAGTTAAACTAAGTAACTTCCATCTGAAGTAAACTTATTTTAAAAACTGTGAACAAATAAATATTAAACTGTGTCTACTACTGCAGACTGATAGAAATATACCTGATTAAATCCTGTGATCATTTTAAACTATTTTTGACTGATGGTGAATCAAACTTTACAAAAAACTGCTACTCGCCGAAAGTCACTTCAGTTTCAGAAGACTATATATATATATATATATATATATATATACCACTTTATCGTAACCAGTCAAAATTGGTATTTTAGAAATCTTCGGGTTTAAAAAATATAGATTGACAGGG